CGGCCCTGCGTGCTGCGCGACGGGCGGCCCCTGCGACTTCCCCTTAGCTCCGTGGTCGGGCGGGCTCCTGGGCCAGAGCCACGGGTTGGGCGCGGGCGAGGAAGAAGCGCTACCCGCGGGCGGCGTGGAGGGCAGGACCTCTCTCCGGTCAGCGTCGCGGTGAAATGGTCTGACCCCAAGGCTGGCCAGCGGGGCAGGGGCCCGTTAGCAAAGCAGGGTCCTCCGCCCGGCCCTGGTCACGCGCTCCTTAGGGCTTTCCGAGGTTCCAGGATTTAGCCTGCGGCCGCTTTGGAAGCATGACAGGAACGGCGCCGAGTCTTGTACCTCTTCTGACAATATCCCGGACTGCCTCCTTAGCCCGGCAGCGCCAGTACAGACGGCGGTGTAGTTACGGCTATAAAGCGCTGAGCAGCGTAGTTCTTTTTCGTGTATTAAAATCTCCGCAGTAAATCCGGGTTTAACCCCAAAGATTCGTTTGTAGTTAGGAACAGCAGTCCAGTTCTAGGCTCCTAACAAACTTGGGTGAAGTTGGTTCTGGGTTGCCTGATTTTCCTCTGTGTGAGGGCTGGTACTTGAGATTCTTATGGAAATAAGTATTTCAGATGACAAAAAAGGTTCTGATTATAATCTGTTTGCTTGGTGATGACTCACAATGCTGCATTCAATGAGGAACATATAAACTTAGACTCATGAATTTGTGAACTCTTGTGTTTGCATACACAAATTTAAGCTGCATTTGTTTGTTCGTCAAATTTTCAGGCATCCAGTCTTCAAATGTAAGAAGATATATTTGAACAAACCTCTGTGTGTGTTGTTATAAGACAAGCTTTTGTGGATTAGAACACAAACAGATTTAACAAAGGTCTGGGATCAAAAGGTTCATTTACCAAATAGTATACAAAGAGAAACAAATGACAAAATAAACACTTCTGTACCTATAGTGATAACACAGAAGACAATTTTGATTTGTATTATTTTTGCACTTAAAAGAAAAATACATTTATTGGGTGAAAGATTATGCCATAATGAATTGAGTAACCTTATGGTACTTCAAGACTCCTTTTGTTGCCATAGACTAATCCAACTATTTCTCTGGAAAATCTTTTTATCTGCTTCCCCTGCCAGAGACACTACACTTTAATCTCTTCCAAACTGCTTTGCTAAAAAAACCCACATCAAAATAGGATTGTGCAGCAGTGAGATTGAGAGATACTTAGGTGGTTTTGTAAATTGGTAGCAAATGGGTAGATGTAGATGAAATATGTCTTTTGTTCCTTAGATTGTATAGACTATTGCACTTCTTAGCTGCCTTCTTCCCTTAGAAGAAGGGGATGACTCCTTTCTGGAGAACATTATGATCTTAGTTTGATCTGTTACTGTACTTCCATGTTGAGCTCCGCTCTTTCAGCTGGAAGCATGATCCAGGCTATAGGGCCTTTCTCTTCCTGGTTTCCTTTGTGCTTTTTAAGCACGTAATTTCTTTGGAAGCAGTGCCATGTCACCATTTTTTCTAGGGAAGGTGTTTTTACCTGTTTTTTTTTCCTCCAGCAAAATCTGTAATAACAATGGTTTTATCTGTTCTGAGGAATTATAATAGTTACACTAACAGTTGGTGTAGAAAAGCTGATGCTAATTGGTGGTCAAACATTGATTTAAAGAGACAGAACTAAGAATTCCTTTATGTTTTAGAGAAGATTTCAAAGCAGATATTTCAGTGTATCCTCTTCTCCTGCAGAGACAGACAGCTTTGTAATCTGCGTATCTGCATTAATCCTTGTTTCATGCTTCCCCTGGAACCAAATGGAGTGGAAATGGCAGTCTTTGTCTCACTAGCACCCCCTTCCCCATTTTAATAAGATCTAATCGCAGCAGTGCAGCTGCTGTGCTTTCGGGATCTTCTTACATCAAATGAATCCAACTGGCTGGAAATAACTAGTCAGAATGTAGAACAAAAGGCTAGGGTTTGTTACTTGCTTTGTCCCGTCTCCGCCCCCCACCCCCCCCAGTAAGATGGAAGTGTTGTTGTTCTGAGGACCAATCAAAATTCTATATCAGAGGCCATGTATTTAAAGCAAATTCATTTCCTTCTCCAAACTAGTTGGAAGATCTGTGGTTTAATTTGCTGGAAGATAGTGCTGTTTATTCATTTTCAGTTTTATATTATATTCTTGCACATGAACATAGATTCTCTTAAAGTGTCTGTGGAGGAAATTAGACACCTCACAACACTAAATTCCATCTGCTGAAATACTAATGTAAAACATGCTTTAGAAGAGTCATCCATGTTCTGCTTATTCTGCAAAGAATCTGACTATCCTCAGTTTACCAGCTCTAATAGAGCCCCTTCAGATGTGCTGGATGTCATGCCTCAGTATCTTGGCCCTTTCCGACTAAGGGGCTAGGGATGAAAAGAGATGTAACCTAATACTGTATATGGGTGTGTTCAGAGAAGGCAGCTCCAGGTTGATAGTTCATTTATTAACCATTATTTTATTTATCCTATATTGTTGGTTTCTCAAGTTATCTTAACAGTCATCACCCCTTCTCCACCAGCTGCTTGTTGTCCCCTGTTATCTCTTTGGGTTGCTGGAAGACATGATAGAATGATGTCAAAATGAATTCCCTTCTGAGAGTCTCATGCCCTTTTTAAGGCTTGTTGCCCTTGGCATCATCACTTGCCAATTAAATTCCGTTCCTACCAATAATGTGCAGCCTTGCTGGCTCGAGGACCCGTGTGTAGTTTTACCTCCTTTTATAACTGTTTATTCAGCCACAACAAACAAGCTTTTCCAGCTCTTTCTTTCCTTGGGTCCCCTGCTTTTGGACTTTGCCCTGTTTTTGAATGCTATCTGCCCAAGTGTATCTCCATATATAGCATGTAAGTTGCATATCAAGATAGGGCAGCATATTCAGTCGTCAGGCTGAATTGGTGGTGAGCATGTATGTCAGGAAGTAGATGCTAGCACTGGGTGGGATCCTGCCAGAGAGGGTGGGTACCCTCCTCCCCTATTTCCAGGCATGCTGCCATATAGATATACTGTATGCACATGCTTTATCTTACACAAGATATGTTTGCAAACACCTGTTTCTTCTCTCACACTCTTTTTCACACATGGAAGTGCACTCTGACAAATAGTTCTCAAATTTTTCCAACCCTGTATAGCAACTATTCTTTAAAGCAACTTCTGCTAATACTACTGGACGGTTCTTAAAAGCCTAGTTGCTATGAATTTTTTTTTTCCATGGGGAAACTGTGGGACAGGGGAGAGACAGCTTTTCTATTGCAAGCAGCATCTACCTCTGTTTGAAGAAAGCTCCCCCTCCCCTTCATAGCATTTAGGATTAAAAATAGCCCCATTACATCAACAAAGGCTATATTAAAGAATTGCTGATGGCTGAACACAGAAAGTTTTCTCTTTTCTTGCTGAGTTGAGATGTGAAGATTGGAGGGAAGAATGGTGGAAAATTTGGTAGTCTTGCTTATCTCTGAAGAATTAGAAATAAGTTTATTTTTCTGAAACCAGAAAGCCTTCTTTATGTAGAAACATCAGTGTTCTGATGCTTAGGACATTGCAATACCTAAGAGGGAAAAAATATTTCTTCCTCAAGGAAACTCATCTTTGACCATGGGCTCTCTTGTTGACTTTTGTAAAAGTTGCTCTTCCTTTTAATCTGATTAGGCCTCAGAATGCAATAATGTAGACTACAACCTTTTTATTCTTGTAGTGTTTAGAAGCAAATAGTTAATTGTTTTGTTTGCTCAGGATAACAAAGTTATCTAAAGTTTTTGCATTGAAAGGAATTCCTCCTCCTCACCCTTTCTGAGTCCCATTAAATCCAGAAAAGAATAGAGCTGTGCAAAGGAGCCAGAAGGAAGCACTTGGTTGAAAAATATGAGTTTCAGACTCAGTATGATATATGTTGGATATTTTATAGTTATGGAAATTAAAATTGAATTCTTATAAATTCTTAATCCAGTTGTGGGGATATCACCCAACCAAATACACATTTGAATTTAATGTATGAGCTATGAGTTTTTGATCCAGCCAAGATTCCTGATGTCTTATTTATACAATGCGATCTTCCTCTGCCCTTCCTCTCTGTTTTTCCCGCTTTCGTTTCTTTTGGATTCCACTCTCCTAGTTCATAGAACCTTCTTTCAGATTCCTTATCTCTGGGTGGTTTTGGGTTGGTTTGTGTCTTTCAGCTGCTTGTATATCAGCTTGTCTGCTGCTCAAAATCTGCTGGTTGAAAAGCCTTTCTGTGTAGTCTTCCTGGAGCATGGGTAAATAGGTCATGAGAAAGGGTATTTTTGATTACCGCATGCAGATTCTGAGGTGCTCTGGGGCCTAGCTTGACCCTCTCTCTTTTTCACTGGATGTTGAAGACTTTACTTTGGCAGACCTCTGCCTAGCTGGATAAATTTTGTTTGTGTCTAATTTTTATCTTAAAATTATCTTAAACCCTTTTTCATCTCGCATGCTTTTTTTTAAGCATTGTTGCTTTATTGTGATATGATTTAAGCCACCTTGAGTGATGGGTATGTGTTTGAAAAGAATATAATTCAGTATATAAATCAATAAATATAGACCCAGGCCTATCTCCAATTTTATTTTCCCTGAATAAATTATTTGTTGTTCAGTCGTTAAGTCATGTCCGACTCTTTGTGACCCCATGAACCATATCGTGCCAGGCCTTCCTGTCCTATCAATTATAATGATAGATAAATTGACAGCTTCCATCACAAACTCTGGACTTCAGTTCAGGTTCTCTAAGCAGCTTAACATTCTGTGTCATCATACCAAATAACATCTAAAATCAATACAAATACTTTCATAAGCTGTCTCAAGTCAAAGGGTCAGGTTTCATGTATAATTTATTTTTTTATGTTTTGGATCAAACTTTATCAGGCTTTCAAAGCATAACAGCATATAATAAATAACATATTGTTATAAAACAAAATCCAAATTAAAAATCTTACTGACACTCCCATGCTGTGTCAGACATATTTACTAGTGCAAAGCATTAAAAAGAAGTACTTTGCAGTGCAAATCATTTAACTTTTTCATTGTTTGCAAGACTCATGACTGCTTCAGAAGCTGCTTCCAACTGTCTACATGTATGTGCACACAAAGCCACTTTGTTTCATAATAATGCTCTTTGCTTTTTTTTCCTCTTGTTTGTATGTATGCAATTATATTTCCTTAAAATGATTCATGGTTGGCTGTTAGGATTTGCTTAACCTAGCAAGTAGCCTTTATTTCATTAGCGCTGGTGTCTAGAAGTTTCTTTTCTAGTGGCTATATGAATGCCTTACATGACTGAGCTATATACCTGGATCATGAACTTGCTAATTTATGCACAGAAAATGGTATTCTGTCCTCATTAACAAATTCTAGGGTGAGTAGGACTTGAAGCGTTATATTGAATGTTTTACTCTTTCAAACAATGAACAGAATATTTTGCTTTTTTTAAAAAAACCTTGATTTTAAACATAGAGTTTTTAGTAATAAATTGAAGATTGGATTAGGATTTTTTGTCCTTGACAGAACATGACAGTGCAATATGTTCCTTAATATTTGGGCATTTTCTTCAGTACATAATGTGCTTTTCACCACTCAAACTAGTGAGTACAAGTTATAAACTGCTGATTCAAACCACTGTCTGCCCAGTTCTGATCTTTTTAGGTATAAATACATCATGGCATCTGAATATCTTTTCCATGGCCTTCATTGCAACCCTACCAAGGGCTGATCTTTGGAATATTTCTTGATGCTGGTTCCTTTACTGTTGACAATCTAGTCAGATGCTATCTACTATGTCAGTATCTTCATTGTCAGTTTTAAGGCTGGTTGCTGTACCTGTTGCCATTAGTTTAGGTTTCTTTATATTTAATCTTAGTCCTATTTTTTTCTCTGTACTCCTTGATTTTTATTATTAGAGCTTGCAGATTATTTGCATTTTCAGCATATTGACTTTTTGCTATGCTTTAATTTTATCCATGATCCTTCAGGCATCAACAATAATGTATCTTGTTCCTTGTCTTTTTGTAAAACCAGCTTGAATATTGGTCATTTCCCTTTCCATGTAGGGTTCTAATCTGCTTTGGAAGATCCTGAACATTATTCTGCTAGTGTACAAAATTAAGGCTATTGCGTGACAGTTTGCACAATCTGTTAAGTCCCCTTTCTTTGAAATTGGTATGACTTTTTCCAGTCTATGGGCCACTTTGTCATTCTCCAGTTTTGCTGGCATAGTTTGGTTAGAACTTTTACTGATCCTTCTTCTGTTGTTTGCCACATTTCTGTAGACATTCCATCAATTCCTGTAGCCTTCTGATTTGGTAGTGACAAGATTACTGATCTAACCATCTTCTAGTACTAGATTGATTGATTGATTGATTGATTGACTGATTATATGCCATCAAGTCATTGTTGACTCCTAGCAGCCACATAGATAGTTTTACTCCATGACAATCTGTCCCTAACCTCAGCTTTCAAGTCTTCCAGCAATGGCTCCATCCCCCTTGCTGCTGGTCGTCCTCTTCTCCTCTTTTCTTCTACCTTTCCCAGCATTAGAGCCTTCTCTAGGGGCTGGGTCTTCACATAGTGTGTCCAGAGTAGGATAATTTGAGCCTGGTCATTCGTGCCTGGAATGAGAACTCTGGGTTGATTCCTTCGATAATCCAGTTGTTTGCTTTCCTGGCTGTCCACAGTATTCTCAGGAGTTCTAGTACTACAGGTTCTTGTGAATAGGGAATATCTTCTAAGATATTTGAATGATGGCATATATACTATATAAATTTCAGCGTGCTCCTTCCATCTTTGATCTTCTTTGAGTAACTTACTATCTGTTCATTGGCATCCTTTAGCATATCAATTCAAGGTCGAGATCTCATTGTGAATTTGGAGATTTTTTGGAAGACTTTGCTTGTTTTTCCTTTCTCTTTCCATGTCTGTATGGGCATTGTTGAAATACTGCTTCTTGTCTCTTCTATGAAATTCTTCATTAAATTTCTTCCTAAGATTTTTTGTCTGTCTTGGCTTTAGCTTCTCTTTTTGGTGCTTTCCACTGCAGTATCTGTTCTGAAGTCCCTAGCATTGATTCCATCTGCTCTGGGTCTTTAGCAATCTCTTTTCATACTCATCCTTAATACTTCTTTGATTTCATCCCACGGCTCCTCTGGTTCCCTATCAGTGACGTTCAGGACTTCAAAGTGATGGGTTCTCCCATGCCCATCCAACCATTCCATGTTCCTGCTTTAGTTCTGTCTTTGCAGCTTCACATTTTCTTTTCCTGCATGGCAGCCTCTGCAACTAGTTGGCCCAAAGGCTTTAATCTAGCCAAATCATAAACACCATTAATATTCCAAAAGCTCTTCCTCAGTAGCATGTTGAATGCCATCATCTGGCACTATGTCATCAGTCACTTCATCTTGTTTGTCTGTGTGTGTGTGTGTGTGTGTGTGTGTGTGTGTGTTTTTGATAAAATACAGGAGTTGATTTATCATTATTTTCTCCCATGCATTATGAAATGATGCCTTTGCTATTGTCACCAAAATGTTCATCTCCCTTCAGCATCTTCCTTTATTAATGCTGCCTAGGTGTCTCCTTGCTGTAGCTGGGCAGCTGGGGTGACCTTCATGCCTTGGGTGACCCTGCTGGAAGTATATATACTCATCCCTCCCGGGAGCATTCCACCACCTCAGTAAGACAACACAGCAGGACTGGGGTGGGGCAGGGAATGAACACTGTGTATATCTGTCTAATACATGTAGCTTTTACTGTGTACATATTGAGAAGCTGTAACTGATCGCAGCTTTCTAATACTAGATTGGGGGATGTCCTGATAGTAAGTACAATCCTGAATAATCTTGCAAAATTCTCCCAGAAATGTATCAACTTTGAACTCTCAAGCTTGCCTGAAGCCTCCAGGTGCTTTCCTGGCAGAGCCAATAGTGCCACCCTAAGCTGTCTTTTCTGGACAACTACACCTTGATTATCTTTTGTAGCAGCAAGAGGTAGACATCTGAATTAAAAAAATAAAAGGACTTGGAAAATATCTGTGCTTGTCTGCATCCTTCTGAAAGTTTCCCCTTGAGTTTCTTTTGAATTCTTTTCAAGCATGTTTGTTCAGAAACAGCACAATGGACTTGCTTTTGATTGTGATGAGTTTGCCATTTTTGAGTGAGAAGGACTCTAGTTGCAGCCTACAAACTTTGTTGTCCCCACCCTGTGTTGAATTCACACCACTATAGCAAGACTGTTGTCTTTTAAAGTAGCATTTATCTTACCACATAAATGGGTAATTTCCCTTCAAAATAGTGTGATTCAGTTATTCTGTTCAGAATAATTTGGCTTCTGTGCATGGATGGTTCAACAAAGTTTAATGCTTTGTGATTTTTTAAACAATGTATTTATTATTTTGAGGCCACCTGACTCCATAACAACTCTGGGCAGCTTACCAATACAAAATTAAAAGAAAGCAAAATATATCAAGACAAGAAAGAAGACAGCTAACCAGAAACCAAAAACCCCAGAAGCCAAGCAGGTAGCAATCAATCAAAGGGGTTCAACCCCTATCCTAACCTAGAGCCTGGGAGAGCAACCAGATCCTAAGCAGCTTGTGAAAAGTTAGAAGGGTGAGAGCAGTATGAATCTCCAGAGGGCTATCATTCTGCAGGATAGGAGCCATTACCAAGAAGGCACGTTTCCTAGGTCCCATTGCTTGATAGACAGGACTTGGACTGTGCCCACTCTAGCTTACCTGATGGGACAGGTGAAAAGTTATGAAGAGTACCTCAAATAACCAGGCCCTATGTCATATCAGTCATAACCAGCACCTTGAATCACACCCAGAAGCAAATTGGCAGCCAGTACAGCCCATGAAGAAGGGTATCAAATGGGTATACCAAGGCATGCCCGTCACTTCTCATGCTCCTATATTCTGGAACAGTTGAAGTTTCAAAGTGGTCTTCAAGGGCAACCCCGTGTAAAGTTCATTGCAGTAGTTCAGCCATGGGGTGATTAGGGCACAAGTGACTGTCTGACGGCCTCCCAATCCAGGAAAGGGCGCAACTGGTGCAACAAATGGAGCTGTGCAAAGGCCTTCCTGGCCACAGCTGCCACTGGCTCATTGAGCAGGAGCTGTGAGTCCAAGAAGACCCCCAGATTGCACCCCAGTCTTGCATGGGGAAGTGCAACCCCATTAAAGTCTAAAGATGGAGGGCCTGTAGAACCAGAGGGATCAAACAAAGCCACTCGGTCTTGTCAGGATTGAGCTTGAGTCTGTCCCTCTCCATCCAGGCCTGCACAGCTTCCAGGCACTGGGTCAGGACTTTGACCGCATCACTTGGTTGGCCTGGGGTCAAGATATACAACTGAAGGTCATCAGTGAATTGATCATACCTGACCCCAAACAGGCAGATGCTTTTTATTCATTTTTCCAAAAAAAAGAAAAAAAATATTTCAGTGAGGCCTATGAAAATGAACATAATATTCAAAAGCCTGAACATTTGTAGAAGAATTGTTCAAGGTTATAAGAAAGAGAAAGAAGTAAGGTTAGCAGATCACCTTCTCTATTTTACTTTTTAATTAGAGTTGTCCTTGATTTCATTTGAGTTCCCTGTCTGTACCTCGAAAATGTTAATGAGCCTGGTATTTTCATTCTTACATTCATTTTTGTTTGCTCTTAGAGCTTCTGTTTGGGTGTATTCACTCTTGCAGTGGTACATCGTTTTATAGAAATTCTTTCTTAAATTATAAGACAATATGAATTTCAGTCCTTTTAACCACATTCTTTCCCATGGATCCTTCTGTATATTATAATCAAAATTCTTAGCCCATTTTATCATGCACTCTTTAAATTTTCTTTTCAAATCTCAACAATAATTTCTACATTTTAGCAATAATCATCATCATTTGTACATCATTCCCTTTCAAATTCTGTTACATGTTGTTCTATGCCTGGTAACTTTTTATCCATATTAAACCTATCCCTTAATTGTGCATATGAAAACCATTGAAAAGTAAATCCTTCTGCAGTCAGTTGTTCTCTTGATTTCATCTTAAGTTCTCAATTTTCCTGTACCAACAAGTCTTTATATGTTAACCATTTTTCTTTGTTGATACAAAGGTTCCTAATAGCTGAAAAGCAATTAAGCTGCCTCTTTGCACCAGCCATTTTGCAAGTCATGCACTTCATTTTGATGGTAGAAGTCAACTGCTGTCTCAACTGAAGTTTGGTTTGTCTTTTTTAGAAATTGACAAAATTCAAAAGGGTGAATCAAAGAAGGATGAAGAGGAGACCTATCTGGACTTGTTTTCTCATAAAAATATGAAGCTGAAGGAACGAGTTCTTATACCAGTCAAGCAGTATCCCAAGGTGAGATACCTGTAACATCTGGAAAAGGATTGCCTTCACTTTCTGCTATCTTGCTTTATGCCTGCCTTCCTGATTACAAAACTGTAACCATTTTATTAGCATAAAACTGTCCTGAACCGAATGTTTCCCAAATAGGTTGGATTGCAGCCTACATTGGCCACAGTTGTAGAGGGGAAAGTGAAGCCTCAGAAAATAAATTTCAGAGGTAGAAAAAAAGTGGGCTGAGGAGCAGGGAAGGAGGTTGGCATCAGCACCCATTCCTGCAGTGAGCTCTACTGGCAGATTCAAGTAAGGGCCATGTGCATAGGTTTAGCAGGGAACAAAGCAAATGGGCACCATAATAATAGAGGTGGAAGAAAATACTGGAAAACGGGGAAAAAGATGAGGCAGTATGGAATTCTAAGATATGAGGACTTGGATAGGGAGGAAGATAAAATAAGTGTAGCTTTTCAATATATAACTCACAAGCAAATGCTTCTCTAGACAGTTATTGATCTCTCCTAATTGTGTCCTGAACCTGAACTTGGTTCTGTTCTTTTAGGTCTTAATGTAAGTTTGGTAGGGAAAAATCAGTAGTGCAGCGATGCTAATTTGGAAGGATTACGAAATATGGTGAAGAAATTATGGGTTCAGAGTGGGGCGTGAGCTTCTGGTGGGGATTAATGGCAGGCTGACGCTCTCCAAAGCGTGGAGAGAGACACCGCAGTTGAGAAATGCTGGCTGGGAGGCAGATTCCAACCCAGTCTTCCTGGACCAAGGAAGATCGAGAGATTAACCACATGTGTTTCAGATAACAGTTCCTTCTGAATTAACTGCAGAAACTGAAAAGTTTTGCAGCCAGCTCAGGAGTTGAGCTACCGGGAGACCTGGAATTCCATCTAGGCTCCTGACTGTGGTGGAGCCAGATGGACATTACAACTTTGCTTCTCCCCACTTCTTAACCACCTTGTGAAGTAATTAATTACAGATGAAGAGAGATTTCTTCAGCAGCAAAGATAAGACTCCTTGCAGTGAGTTAAACCTTCTTTTGAGATTATAAAAATAACGCAAGAGAGACTTTGATTTAAAGATTCAAGAACTATTTGCAAAAAACTTAATTAAAAGAAGAAATAAGAAATTTTTTAAAAGCAGGCAAGAGGACAATTTTTTTTCTTCCTATTTTTCTATTTCTATTTTTATTATTTTTACTTTTGACAGAAGTGCTTTGCTATAATTTTTCTTAAGTTAGCTAATGAGATTAGCCTGGTGTGGGAATGTTACTAGCTAGCCTTAAAGAATCTATGGGATTGGTGGAATCGGCATAATAAAAGATAAGGTACAGACAGACTCTGATGTTTAGTTGCCATGGAAACATGAGCTTTGTTGTGAAAGTTACTGAGTGCTAATAAAGTGAAAGTTTGAAACAAGAAGATAAGGAAAAAAACAGAGGCTTCTCTTTATTTTGCTGGCTTGGGACTTTTTTGCTTTTGGATTAAAAATGAATTCTAGAAAAATGGCAGAAGAGGGCAGAAGAGGCTCACTAGAACAACCCACAGAAAAAATAATTACACAAGATATGCTTCAGAATTTTTTTAAGCAAATGGGAAATAAATTGGATGCCTTTGAAAAAAGAATGGATGGAAGATTTGTACAGCTAGGGGATGAGAGAAGATGTTCAAAAGATGGAAGATTCTATAAAACAAATATCTGGAGAGGTAAAGCAAATTAACAATAGAGTGGAAATTTTAGAGAGTAAATCTGAGGTTCAAAGCTGAGAGATGGAAAGAGAATTGGATAACCTGGCTTTACTGGAATTGAAAGAGAAAGAATTCTGTTTGAGATTTATTTATATTTATTTATTTATCAAATTTGTTACCGTCATCTCATTGAAAAGTGACTCTGAGCGGTTTTAGAGTCGTTCCAGAGATTCCAGGTGAAAATATTAGAGAGAGGCTTATTAATGTTTTGGCAATTTTGGGGGATTTAGAAGAGGAAGATACGGAGATGGAAATCGATAAGATTTATAGAATAAATTCCAGATTTGCCAGGATGAAGAATGTCCCTAGAGATATCTTGGTGCAATAAGAATTGTCTTGTTGCTTTCCTGTCTATACAAAAATTCAGAATGTTTGTTTCTCTTTTTGGTTGGAATTCTGAAGTCAGCACAGTTACTACTTAGGTAAAGTTGTATTTGCTACCCACTGTCATGTCAACTAAGGAAAGGTATCTTTTCTTCCAGTTCAATTTCGTTGGGAAGATACTGGGTCCCCAAGGCAACACCATCAAGCGATTACAGGAGGAAACTGGAGCAAAGATTTCTGTCCTAGGGAAGGGATCAATGAGAGACAAGGCAAAGGTAGGACTCCCTGGACTAGAATTTTGATTTTGGGCATCTACTGCAGCATTTACTACCTCTCCCCTTTTGTTGTCTGCAGACTAACACTGTAGCTGAAGACTATGTAAACGTATTTTCTTGAGACAGTTCTTGCCCCAGCCCCCAGAGTTTTCAGTGTGGCCAAGGTCTGAACTGATGTTCATTCCTCAGTATACTTTTCCAGGTTCATGCCTCATGAAAAGATTTTTCTGGCTGGACTTAGCACATGCATTGCATGATATTGGGTCTATGAATGGATTAGCAGAGTACAGAAGGCTTGTTTGGACAAATAGTTTCTGAATTACCTAAGTTTTCTTTTCTCCACAGAAATGGAGAAAATGGGTTATAATTTCAAGATGGCTGCTTCCAAATTTAAAAATCCTCAAGCAGCCCCAGTATTTTGCAGTTTTACAAATGATCTGGGCTATTGAGATACAGAATATGTCCTATTCAGGCTTTTACTACCCATGGACATCAAACACATGAAGTGGCCAGTAGGAATATGGAAGGACTGATCTCACCCCCTCAATGCCACTTAAAGCAGCCTTACCTCCCCCACCCACTCCCAATAATATGTAATTGGCATCAGTCTGAAGTAGGTTTTCATCCTTGCAGAAGACATCCAGGTTAACCAGGATTCCTATCTCATGGAGGAAATTCTTTGTGTGTACAAGGCTCTCTCTTCTGACTGCCAGCTTTCAGTTATCAGGAGTGAGGCCAGCAGTCATATCAGTGTTGCAGAAGTGAGAAGAGCTGAAAGATTCAAGGATTATCATGATCCTTCTAGCTGTGCTGTATTTAACGTTCAAGGTCTTAAATTCAGATTGGTGATCTCTAATGTCCTGAAGTAGCCTTACAATGAGAAAAAAAAAATTTTTTTTTATAAATCTTTATTGGCTTATAAAATTTAACACACACAAATAGCTAACAAACATAAAATGAGAAGAACAAATACAGATAGAAAAAGGGGGGGAAAACACCACAAAGCCACAAAAAACATTTTTTTTAAAAAAAGGGTTTCCTTCTAACTAAACAGTGAGTTTTAACTATTTACATGTCTTCTTTTCTTGGTTCCTTCATCTTGTCTCTGTTTCTATTTTATTCATAGTTCTTACTTTTAACTCTAAATGTTCATCTGTATGCAGTATGTCGTTTCCATATAGCCAAAAAAGGGTTTCCAATA